AGGCCTATTGAATAAAGAGCCCTACCTATACACATAGACAACAGTAGAGGCAACATAGACGAGCTGCCTACATCAATCCTCAAAATTATTCATTACTGGATAGGAGTCGACAATCAAAATGCACAAGGAACCTTGAAGAACATCTTTGGTTTACTATAGAGGGAACGATACTGACACTCAGAAGAGCTGATCTGGAAGAAACAATTTAGACAAGAACGTGAACAATTCCCATTTGGTATTTTTAGCTAATTCAAGAGCTTATTACACACGCTCACACAGACACAGACACACAGACCGATACGACAGAAAGGAATAAACAAAAGGCAAGAAAATATGTTTCTGAAATTTAAAACATTATTGCCAAAACAGTCAATAGAAGGACTTGGAGAAAAAAAATCGGGAAATAGCTCAGGATTTGAAAATAGAGAAAAGTTGAGCTGTAGATGATCAATTCAGAGGGTCTAACACTTGATGGCCATACATTTTGGACAGTAAGATAGGAAGGGAAGAAATAATCAAATAAATTGTACCACATGTCATCAATTCTAAAATGACCCCCCCTCTAAAATGCATTGTTATTTCATATATTGCTAAGGAAATAAAAGCTGTGCCAATTGAATTATGAGACAATACTTTGTTTCACTTGAATTTTTATTTATAAATATGTAAAGAGTTCCTTTAGGTGTGTTTAGATATATATTGTCTTCTTCATATGTAAAATGCAGTATTTTCAAAATAAATTGCAAAATAACTTAAAACCATATTCAGAATCTGATTCTTTTAAATGTTTGTGGGGCTTAAAACCATAGATGTTCATTTTTTCATCACAGTATTCTTTATTCTGCCAGCAAGAACTTTGGTATGTGGGCATTACCAAACGTGAGCAAACATAGCCCTATTGTCTGGGATTTTCTTCCAAGCTACTGACGCTCTTTCTGCAAGTTTTGATGTTAGCGTATAATAGGGAACCTATAACACAGGGTTATAGGGTTGTCCTTTCTTAGGTCCTATAAATTATGGATTATGGTCATTGCTTTGCAAGAAAATTGGGAATTTCACTCATTCTTCCAAATCTAGATATTCACTTCTCTAATATCAAATTCCACATCACCGTTTCACTTCAGTAATTTTTGGCATTTACAGTAATTTTTTAAGGCCAGATAATAATATAATGTTCAAAAATTAATGGCAACTATACTCGACATACATAGCATCAACAATAACCTGAAGTGAAAAAAATAAAGACACCTATGACTAAAAACAAACATATATGGACAATGAAAATTACACCTAGACATATCTTACTTTCAGAGGTGTGAAGATGTACAAAAATGGGTCTTATTATGAAGTACAGTATACTGGTGACATTTTTTATCAGATTTCTATTATTTTTTCTATGTTCATCTGTCCAGTATTGAAAGGCATGTTGAAATTTTAATTTTATCTTCATTATGAATCATACCCTTTCTATATCAAAAGACAGCATTTCTCCATTTTAATTCACTTCCTTAAAGTCCACCTTTTCTGCTATTAATAGTTTGACTCCTGCTGTCCCTTTATTTAAATTTCCCTGATAGATCTTTGCTCACTTGATGTCACTTTGTTTGAGGTATGCTAATTGAAAACCACATTTGACCAAACACCGTTTTTCATTTTCAATCTAAAAGATTTTTATCTTTTAATAAGGAAGTCACTTTTAGTTCCACTATTAAATTTACAATATTTAGTCTTATTTCTCTTAGCTGGTTTTAGTCCTCATTGCATCACATTATACTATGATTTCTCCATTCTTTTGTTAAATTATTTTTATTGTGAAATGTATCACTGATACAACACAATGGATATACATATATGTATATTTAAAGATTAATAGTAAGTTGAAGAAGCATCTAATATCCACTATCCAACTTAAGAAACAGAGTATCAGGAATAATTTTGAAGCTTCCTGTTGATCTGATTACATTCTTTCCCTGCCCTGGATTTCGTACTATCCTGTATTTTGTGTTAGCAATTCCTTTGCTTTTTCTCTATAGTTTTCTCTATAACTACATAGATGTAGCTCTAAACAACATAATGACCGGTTTGCTTATTATTTAACTTTGTGCAAATGCAGTTGACACTTGTTATTTTTACTCTGCATTGTTTTACGCTGATAGCTGTGATTAATTCATTTTCCCTAATATATGGTGTTCTGTACAAATTTGTACAACCTTGTACATTGTGTTCTGTATGAAAGGTGCTGACAGTGTGAATGGTGCCCCAGAGCTGAGTAAGGTGATAGCCCTGATTCCTTGGTATGAATACAACATAATTTATTCATTTTAATAATTCAGCATTTTTTCCTAGGGTTTCTTTTAGCATTTTTTCTTGCTGTGATGAAATAGTATTGCTATGAGCATTATTTTACATGTCTCTTGAACATACAGTTTCTCTAGGGTTTCTAACTAGGAGTGGAATATCTGGTAATAGTGTATACAAATACATGCAGTAATAAACTGTCTTTCTCTTGCTAATCTTTTTGTTAAAGAGCCTCAGCTGAAAACCTAAGGTGGTGGCTAGAAGTAAAGTTTCCCTTCCCTACAAAAGCATAAGATGGACTGGACCGCCATTGCTGACTTTGAAACTGGAAGAAAGCCACCAAAGAAGGCCCCCAGCTGACAGGCAACAAGAAAACAGGGACCTCATTCCTACCACCACGTGGAGCTCAGTGCTGCCAGTAACCTGAATGTCTCTGGAAATGGATTCTCCCTCAAAACCCCCAAAGGAGGCAGCCCTGCCGACACCCTGACTTTGACACTATAAGACCGGGGTAAGCCACTGACCTACAGAATTGCGAGACGAAGATCCTTTATTCAAGCCACTGGGATGGTGGTTAAGTGTCAGCAGTAAAAACCAACACAGTGGATGAGCTTGGCTTGTGATAGTTCTGTTGATCCAAATGCTTTTAAATAACCTGATCAATGTTATTTTAAATTAATTGTTTTCTCTAGTTGTGTTAGTCTTTAACTGGCAGGAGGAGGCCATGAACTGAGACGTATCACAGCTCAGTTATGGCCAAAACAGGTTTGGTGGAACGCAGACACGTGATCAGTCTTCCAAGCAACGTATTATAGTAACTGTCCCTAGTTCATCTCTGTGTTTCCTAGCTGCTTTGCCCTTGTTGTTTATTCTAGGATGGACAGCTATGGAACAAAATTTGGCCAACCTAAGACTATGGTTTTGGGGTTGAGGGGTGGAGCTCTGCTTCAAGTGCTGTGGGGAAAGAAGGAAGCTGACACACTGAGAAACAATAAAACCAGAGATGAAGAAAGAGCCTAAGGCACTTGGGTCCATAGTTCTAGTTATTCCTCAAGCACTTTTCTTAACTTGATACTGGATGATAAATTGCTTTTTTCTAAGTTAGAAAGAAATGTGTTTCTGTCATTTGCCAATGGCAAGAATCAGTGTTGAATGCTGTATTCATTTCCTGTTGATGCTGTAACAAACTGTTATAAACTTAGTGACCTAAAACACCACAGATTCACCATCTCAAAGCTCTGCTAGTCAGAAGTCTAACGCAAGTCTCTGGGCTAAAACCAAGGTGCCTGCAGGGCTGCATCCCTCTCTGAGGGCTCTGTGGCAGAATCCATTTCCGTGTCCTTTCCAGCTTCTCCATCCACGTCCCTTGACGGGGCCCCTTTCCTCCATCCTCAAAAGCCAGCAACAGTGAATCTCTCTGTGCTCTCCCTCCATGGTCACATCCCCCTCTGACCTCTAATTTCTATTTTAGTTTGCTTTCTTTTATGAATGAGATTGAGCACCTTGTCATGTGTTTACTGACCTTTTCTGTTTCCTCTTTTGTGAAGTATCCATTTCATGTCAATTTTTCTACTGGATTGTTTGCCGTTTTCTTACAGATTCTTTCATGGCAATATTTAACCACTAAAGGATTTACCCTTTAGTGGTTAAATTTGTTAAACTGTCATCTCCTGGTTTGTGCTTATATTTTTATAATTTGTATGGTGTATTTTAAACTTAAAGTACCTGTATTTTAATGTAGTTGATTTTGTCCATTGTTTACCTTAACTGTTATGCTTTTTATATATTGATTAAGAAATCCTTCTTTGGGAATTCCCTGGTGGTCCGTGGTTAGGAATCCGTGCTTTCACTGACAAGGGCGTGGGTTCAATCCCTGGTCGGGGAACTAAGATCCTGCGAGCCTTGCAGCATGGCCAAAAAAAAAAATCCTTCCTTTCCCTAAAGTCATACAATATTCTGCTATATTTTCTTGTAAAGCATATAAAATTTTCATTTCTCGTTAAGTGTTTACTATCTCAATAATTGTTTTCTTCTTTTAAATAAGGAATTTTTCCCAGCATACTGTATTGGGCTGTCATTTTCCTATTGACCTCTAATACCAATTCTTTTCTGTTTCACATTTCATATATGAATAAGTACGCTTCTGGGCTCTTCTGTACTATTAATCTGTTTGTCTATCCCTGTGTAAACACCACACTGTATTACCAGGGCTTTATGACAAGCTTCAATATCTAGTAGAGCAGAGCTCTGCAACTTGATCTTTTTCTTTAGAAATGTGTTATAAATTTTGGCCTTTTGCTTATTCATATAAATTTTTAAATAAACTTGTCAGGTTCCATAGAAGCATTGCTAGAATTTGGATTAGAATTACATTACATCAATAGGACAAGTGGGGGAGAACTGACAATTTTTTAACTCAAGGTCTATTCGTGATATGAAATATGTCCATTTATTTTGGTCATCGTTAATGACTGTCAATAGCACTTTATAATTTTCAACATAACAGTCTTGCTTATCTTTTGTTAATTATCATTCCTAAGAACATTATATTTTTAGTGCAAAATTAATTACATTTTCTAACTATTGCATTTTAGGTGCATAAAAATGCAATTGACTCTTGTCTAATAATGATATTGTGTACAACTATAGCAGGTATTGCTCTAACCTCTTTATCAACCTATTAAATCCTCTCAACAACTCTGTGAGGGGGTCCTGTTATCATAATTACACTTTATTTTGGCATTCAAACCACCGCGTCAATTTGGTCACAGGGAATTTGAAGTAAGGCAGGGTAGGCAGAGTGACGTACAAGGACTGCAGCTCTTTATGGAGAAGAGAACTTGCCGCAGAACAAAATGCTGTTGGTTTCATGGTGCCTGATGAAGAAAAGGAAAGGGTGGTCTGCACAAAATCTTGGCTCAGTTCTGCTGCACCGGGAGTTCCTGACCACCGCGGTGGCCGCAGCTGCCTCCGTGCCCTCCTCGTTGACCTCTACAAAGCACTTGTGCACGACCTTGGACATGGACACGTTCTTCTTGGCTGACATTCCAGAAAAGTCGGCCTTGGCTTCCTCAAAAGCATCAGTCATTCCTAAACTTCGAAGAAAAGCCGCCAAGTCGTAACTCTCCTCCAGCTTTAATCTGGGAAGAAAAACTTGAACTTTATCCTTAGTCAGCTTTTCTGGATTTGTCCAGGCTCTGAACTTCTCATATGTAAGTGCCTTTTCCACCTGAAATAATGAAGAGTTAAATCTTAAAAGCTAGATGACAAGAGCCTGGTACTCACCCATCCCCCCACGCATTAACACCTCCACACACACGCATGACCTGCAGTTAGATGGTGAGATCTAGTCCAAGACAATCTAAGGGATATTTCCTCTTATAAACACACCTGGATTTCCCCTCAAATTCTTGCATTTTCCTTGTTTTATGGACACAAGAACAGTTAGAAAACACCTGAGACAAAGATAGGGTTTTATTTTTAACTATCTGTAGCAAATTCATTTCAAGCATTTTTTTAGTTTAGAAAATTCTCATAACCAATGGATTGTATTCATGCGAAACACTTTACCATGAGTTTGAGAACTTGTTCGACAAAAGGGAGACAAAGCATGGCTCAGAACTCTGATGGATGAAAAATGGGGAAATCAGGGATCATCTGAACGGGAAGGAAGATGTGGATTCTGGGGAGGGGAGAGCAGCAATGGGGAATTCCACAGGACGATTGCTTCTGGCATCCTTGTTTGCCCTCTGCCTGCCCTGGAGTTTCAAAACCTACAAGACCCATAACTCATTCTGTTTATCCACAGGGAAGAAATAAAGGAGGAAGAGGGGGCTTCCACTTGCGTCCCCACTTCCCTTCACCACCTGGAGTCCAGGTGAGTTCTCCTCTCCCGTGACAGCTGGGTTTGGATGTCAGCTCTATTCCTAGACTCTCCTAATTTTCTTCTCAAGTCGCCGTGACAGAGCTCATCCTTGACTTATGCCAGGACCTTCCTGATTCCATGGAGAAGCCAGGGAGATCAGGCAGGCCCAGCCTCACAGCGGTGTGCTGGTGTGCAGGCGGTGGGCTGGAGCTGGCTTGGATCTCCGGTGAGAGTCAATTGTTAAACCCTCGGGAGCCTAACTTCAGCCATGGTGGGGGTATTGACACCACAGGAATCACTAAATATCATAATGCTTCCCCTCCACCCCAGAGAGCCAGATAACGAGCATACTATCACTCCTGTGCCTCCCACCCTACAAAGTTACTTTCCCCCATCCTGAACCCCCACTTTCCGTCATGGGAAGATGTCTTCCTCGTGTCTGAGATAAATTCCTCACCTGTACTTTAGACGCTTGCTCCTCAAGTTGGTCTATGACCAACGGCATCTGCATCACTTGGAATCTTGTTAGAAATGCAAAATCTCAGGCCATAACTCCCCCCAAATAAAAGTCTGCATTTTAACAAGATCCCATTAGGTTAATATGCACATTAATGTTTGAGGAACACGGCCCAGATTCTATCCTTTTCCTGTCCTTTTGTTCAGTAATTATTGGGCTCTCAACTAGACCCTCCCTTCAAAATAAATAATAATGTTCTTATATTTTTGGAAGTCTCTCTTCTAAGCTTCATCAAAATTTGTCAATACCAGCAATTCCACTCCTAGTTGTACCCTCAACAGGAAATGCATACACATGTTCACCCAAAGACATGCAGTGGTGTTCATTTAGCACTCCTTAAAATAATCCTAAATTGGAAATTCCTCAAATGCTATCTGGTGGATGGACTTTTAAAAATGAGCTTAGCCTGGATCCATGGACACTCAGACTCATTGCCAAGGGCTTACCACAGCGAGATCTGTGTTGTCATCAGGCAGTAAAATGAGCATACTCAGCACCCCCTCCACGTAGGGCAGCTCCAGGACCTGGGCGTGCACCTCCTCCACATACCCCATTTTATATTCAGCTTGCTTAAACATCATCTGCACTGTCTTCTTCTCCTAATAAGAATACAACATTAAAATCAAATAACTGAAAAATGAGCGCAGTGCACTAAAAGATATGTCTGATTCGCAGAATCCCTAGGTACATATAATTATTATTTCTATGCACTTATGCTGATTGATGTAAAGTCTTCATTATTACATATTAGTGTTGAGTATAACATTCTGTTGCCCCAGCAGATCAAGTATTATGAGGCAGGAGAGAATCAATTGATGAATATAGAGAGACACAAAACTATATTATTCTCAGAAGAAATTGTGGGGTTTTTTTCTCTTTTGAGAAGATGGGTAGAGAAGCACTCCCAGGGACCTTTTAATTAAAAGATTATTTCTCGGGCTTCCCTGGTGGCGCAGTGGTTGAGAATCTGCCTGCCAATGCAGGGGACACGGGTTCGAACCCTGGTCTGGGAAAATCCCACATGCCGCGGAACAACTAAGCCCTCGCACCACAGCTACTGAGCCTGCGCGTCTGGAGCCTGTGCTCTGCAACAAGAGAAGGCCGCGACAGTGAGAGGCCCGTGAACCGCGATGAAGAGTGGCCCCACTCACCGCAACTAGAGAAAGCCCTCGCACAGAAACGAAGACCCGACACAGCCAAAAATAAATTCATTAAAAATATATATATATATCTAAAAAAATAAAATTATTTCTCCAAGTTAAGGGGAAATTTAACTAATATTCAGGTCTTTAGGCAGAAAGATCTGGTTGGAAAAGGTATATAGGCCAGAGGGAGTTATACTTTTTTTTTCCCCAATTTATTTATTTATTTTTGGCTGCGTTGGGTCTTCGTTGCTGCGCGCGGGCTTTCTCTGGTTGCGGTGAGCGGGGGCTACTACTCTTTGTTGTGGTGCGCGGGCTTCTCGTTGCGGTGGCTTCTCTTGTTGCGGAGCACGGGCTCTGGGCACGCAGGCTCAGTAGTTGTGGCTCACAGGCTTCGTTGCTCTGCGGCATGTGGGATCTTCCTGGACCAGGGCTCGAACCCATGTCCGCTGCATTGGCAGGCGGATTCTTAACCACTGCGCCACCAGGAAAGCCCCGGGAGTTATACTTCTATTCTGAAAACTTGCTCAATTATATAATTGGCTTTATGGCCTTGCTTTTCTTGAAGGGGGAACCTTGATCAGATGTCTAGGGTCCACCATTTTTAAAGCTTGCATCAAATATATTCTAGATTTATAAATTTTTGTGTAATACACTGCTATCAAGCGGATGGAGGTCAAATTCCAAGCTAACAGTTACTGACCCCAGCCGTTATCATATTCAAAAGTGAATGGAGAAAAGTGTTTTTGAAGTTAGGCATGTAATTCTAGAAATCAAATATACAACCTGATGCTATAGTTAATAATACCGTATCAAATACTGGAAATTTGCTAAGAGGGTAGATTTCAGGTGCTGTCATCACAGAAAATATATGGTAACTATGTGAGGGAAAGATATTTAATTAGCTTGACTGCGGTAATCATTTCACTATGTATATGTTTATCAAACCCTCACCTTGTACACCTTAAATACGTATAATTTTTATTTCTTAAGAAGTTCCAAGAATAAATAAAAACAAAGCTGGCCTGGACATTTGCTAACACTTTTTTTCTTGTATTAGGAATTGTACAGCCATGAATTCTAAGGCAATAAATAGTCACAGTTGTCACTGACTGTTGCAAGAAAGTGTCTAAATACAACAGTGACAGTAAAATACAAACATAATTCCAAGGCTTAGAAGACAGTTTCTTTCAATCCAAATAACATGACCAGAGAGAGAAGATCGATTTGACCAAGGATCCAAAAACAAAATGATCTAACAATTATTTTCGTTTTTCTCTTTCCCATTCCAATAAGCGATATATAGGGGGCATGAAATTCCTTCAGAAATAATAAATTAAGAATCAAGACAGTGTGAAATAAATTATGTTTTTCCATTCACTCACAACCTTTCCCAGAGTATTACTTTAGAAAGTAGCTGTATATCTGCAAAAATATGTCCCTACCTTGTTGGTTTTAAAGGTCATTCCCCTTGTGTGCTTTCTGTCAAATTGCTCATGCCACTTTCCTTTGAAATAGGTTGCATTCACGAGGACCAGCTTGGTCAGAGGACCGATTGCCCCAGCCCCCAGTATCTCTGAAATCTTTCCTGTAAAGAGTATGAGAGAAAGTTATTGCTATTGGGGGAGAATAAACATTCTTTTACAAAAGTTCTCTTGACACTGAAAGCCGAGGCTTGGTGGAGGAAAGGCTGGATCCTGTAGTTCCAGCTGCCTGAGGAACCGGGGTGATGGTGTTTCATTCTGTGCACACGTACAGCGTAGTGTTTGTCCTTAAACAAGAATCTTGAAGCAGGCAGGTCAACGACCATTTTGCCCTCAATTTATAGATGTAGAAATTCAGGTTCAGAGTATTTGCCTGACTTTTTGCCAAGGTCACATAGGCGACCAAGTGGTTGAGCTGAGAAAATAACCCAAGAGTCTCGATTCCAACTGTAAGCTTCTCGACCTTGGCACCATCATTTCTCAGCCACGCCACTACTGGCATTTTAGGCCACATAATTCTTTGTTTGGGGGATGGTCCTATGTGTTTAGGATGTTTAGCCAGTATCACTTCCCCCAACTATGACAACTGAAAATGTCTTCAGTTATGGCCAGATATCCCCTAGAGGTTGATTCTGATTAAGAATCGTTGCTCTGTGCCCACCTTCAAGTCTCATTTAGGTGAGAAGAGGCTTCCAAAGGATGGGGATACAGATCTGTAAATGGGAGAAGGCAGCTTCCTGGAGGGAGGGAATGGGGCAAAAGAATTAGGGGGATGCAATAAAGGGGCCCAAATTGAGTTGTCCAATGAGAGCGGAGACAAGGTGATCCCCAACCCCCCCTCCAGCTCTGCTATTCCGGGAAATCTTGGGTGGTCAACCTGTTGGAAGGAAGGGTGTGAGCAGCCGTGGAGGGGGAAGTGGGTGGTGGAGGGAGGGTGAGGTGTGGAGAAGCTTCTGGCTTCCCTAGGTGACTCAGTGTTGCTAGATCAACTGGAGAGCCAGAGACCCCTACACACGTGACGTACGAAAATATCAACGTGAAAGGTTCTTCCCTTCCGATGGTCGTTGGCTGCCTGCGTGATCACGGGTATTGTGGCTGCCTGACGCGCAGTGGATGCGCCATAAGATGGAACGGATGGAATAATGAGTGCCAGGTGGGCATGTGAACAAACGAGTGACGTAACCTCCCCGCCTGCTGACGTCTCTAAATTACGTGCTGAGTACTTAGAGTTCTGAAAAGCACGTCCTTTTTCTCTGCACTCTAATTGAGAACTGGCAGAAATGTTTCTGCTGAGACAGAATGTGTCTGGACAGGGCACCCTGTATGCTCCACAGTAGCTGCACTTCCAGAATCTGGAGCAAATTCGGAAAAGCAAACTTAGCCCCAGCCAAGTTCAGAGGGCAGGAGAGGGCTGTGGATGAAACTAGAGCGGCTCACATCACCACTGGGAGGTGACATGAAACGTTGTCCCACCTCAGCTATAACCTAAATGGAATGTCCTGCCCTTAGAGCACGGCAGTGTCCTCGCAGGTAGAAGTTAAATGGGGCAACCAAAGAGGAAGCATTTTTCGGGGATGTTCCATTACCTTCCAGAGGGGAGGGCATCTGAGAGACTAACATTAGGTTTAAGCATTTTTCAGAAATCACCACTTCGTAAGCCCAAGAAAAATATCAGAATTGCATCAATGGCCTGAAAGCCCAGCAAACACACATAAACAGGCCACTGGTTACAGGGTCACAGTGGCCACCCGTGGAGGTCACATCCCAGGTTACAGGGTCACAGTGGCCACCCGTGGAGGTCACATCCCAGGTTACAGGGTCTCAGTGGCCACCCGTGGAGGTCACATCCCAGGTTACAGGGTCACAGTGGCCACCCGTGGAGGTCACATCCCAGGTTACAGGGTCACAGTGGCCACCCGTGGAGGTCACATCCCAGGTTAGGGTCACAGTGGCCACCCGTGGAGGTCACATCCGGCAATCTCAGCTCTGTGTCCCTCATAACACCACATCTCCTGAAATGAAAATCTCTCACCTTCAGTCTTCTCCGTCACCCAGTCATTTACGTGTTTCCTGCATTCTTCAGTGTCTTTAGAAAAGTTCAGTTCCTCCAGGTCTGCCTGATAGAACTTCTGGCAGGATTCCTTAAAAGCCTACAAATGCAAAATACCTAGTTTGGCCACATTCCACTTGTCAAAGTTTCCTAAAAGTGTGAAAACATTTCTTTCTTAACGTGTTTCTAGCACAAATGCTTGCACAGGGCACCCTGTACTTTAAGACTCATTTATGCAATTAATCAAAATGTATAGACTGCTGGCTTTGTGCCTGGTACAGTGCCAGGTGCTGGACACCAGGGTGAAGACATGACCTTGGACCTGAGGTGGCTCACAGTCTGCTGAGGGAGAAACATATACACACGATAATTACAATTTTATTTATTTATTTTTTTTGCTGTACGTGGGCCTCTCACTGCTGTGGCCTCTCGCGTTGCGGAGCGCAGGCTCCGGATGCGCAGGCTCAGCGGCCATGGCTCACGGGCCCAGCCGCTCCGCGGCATGTGGGATCTTCCCGGACCGGGGCCCGAACCCGTGTCCCCTGCATCGGCAGGTGGACTCTCAGCCACTGCGCCACCAGGGAAGCCCCTACAATATGTTTTGAGAATACAGACGGCGGCAGCCATGCACAAAACAGCCCGTGAACATTCCTGTCAAACGCTTAAACTCCACATTGACTTTCTGTTTGATTTTGTCTCCCCTACTAGGTGGTCTAACCCTGTTTCACTCATTTTTGTATCATCAGCACCAACCACAGTGTCTGAAATATCCTTAGGGAATGATTGGGAGGCTCCACAGTAGAACTAGATTATCAACAAATCTTACAGGTTCAGTGTGTGTGTGTGTGTG